GACCCTTCGGGCCTCAGTGTGGGGTTTTCAGAGACCCTTCGGGCCTCAGTGTGGGGTTTTCAGGACGGCAGCTGACCCCTGGGGCTCCCCTCGGGTGGGCTTTGGCTGCCCTTGGGTGATTCCCACTGGGGTGCTGCGGAGGAGACGTGGCTGCAGGGTGCTGAGGGGAGACGAGCCGCGTGCCCTCGGCAGCAGGTGCCTCGCGGCATCGTCCGCTTGAAGCCGGGGGGATTTTGTGGCTGGTGCTGGGCTTTTCCTTCCCAGCCCGTGTCAGGGCGAGGCACCAACGTCTGGTTTTGGCAGGGCGAGCTGTTAACAGCGTGGCGGCTGGTTGGGCCTGGAGTGAAAGCGGTGGGCTGTGCCTTTACGTGTGAGAATACCTCGCAAGTGGCTTTATTCCAGGCTGTAACCACCGGAATAGCTCCCTATCCTTTGCTTTGTGGCCACTTCTGGTGTGTGATCCCGGGCTTTCCTTTCATGACATCCCCCTTGAGAATCTTGCGTTCCCCCCTCCATCTCCTGCAGGACTGTGCTGGTTTAGATTAGACGTCGATTAGGACCGTTCTCAAAAAGAGCCTGTAATTCTTACATAACGTGTGAGGCAACACGCCGCTTGATGGATCCAGGAGTGGGAGCCTCGCTTCAGACTCGTGCTGTATTTGTACATCCCTTAACAGGGTTTGGAAGCCCACTATCGAGCCGTTAAGACAGGCTAGAGCAAGGCTGGTCTCCCTGGGACAGCTGGTATTGCCACACTGGGAGCCGAGGTATTCGAGGGGTATTTTCAGCTGCCTGATACCATGGACTTGTCAGATGTCTCCTGCATTTCCAGGTTCACTTAGTTTACTGCAGGAGCTGGTTGAGTGACAGGAAAAGATCCTGACAGTGGGATGAACAAAATAATAATAAGCTTCTACCTTATTCAATGTTTGCATAATCTTCAGAACGTGAAGAAAATATCAGATGGAAGCTATATGGATGCCTCTTCACAGTGTTGTAGCTTTCCAGGCAGAGTCAGGGAGGGACAAATCATAGAACGGTTTGGGTTGGAAGGGACCTTAAAGACCATCCAGTTCCAACCCCCCTGCCATGGGCCGGGACACCTTCCACTAGACCAGGTTGCTCCAAGCCTCATCCAGCCTGGTCTTGGACACTTCCAGGGAGGGGGCATCCACAGCTTCTCTGGGCAACCTGTCCCACTGCCTCACCACCCTCTCCCAGAAGAATTTTTTCCTGATATCCAATCTAAACCTCCCCTCTTTCAATTTAAACCCATTATCCCTTGTCCTGTCACTACAGGCCCTTGTAAAAAGTCCCCCCCAGCTTCCTTGTAGCCCCTTCAGGCACTGGAAGGTGCTATAAGGTCTCCCCGGAGCCTTCTCTTCTCCAGGCCGAACATCCCAACTCTGTCTCAGCCTGTCTATGCACGTTTCTGGGGGAAAGCCAGAAGAATACGAGCCTTGTGATTATATAAATATAAGGGGGGTGGGGGCGAAAGCATTTCAGGCTGAGTTTGTGGCCTGAAATGCAAGTATTTGTGCTAATTTTTTACTACATAGCACTGCATGCTCTCTAGGGTGCTCTGAGACTGCAGCAGTTGTGAGCACATTCAGCGTTCCTTGCCTAGTGAGAAAGATGTTCAGGTCAAAAATGCTGCAAACCAATGCTTCTGCTTACTTTCTTCTAGGCTTTTGGACAGATCTGCTTACTGCCCTTCTTAATAAGGTAAGGGGGGGGGGCTCCCCCCCAAGTTTCTTTTTTGTTTTTAAGGTGCCTGCATTGAACACAACTTTACAGGTTATCTGAAGTGACCTTTTTTAAGAGACAAATTGCATAACTTCAGTGAAGAGCAAGTGAGATTACCTCATCGAGGGTGTTTACTAGGTTTTTTTATTTGAACTTCTGTGGTTTGAGTGGGTCTCAGAGGGAATTAACCTTTTTCTCAGCCCGGCATGTGCATGGAAACCGAATCCACTGGAGTGCCTCTTTGTCCTTCTGTGCTGTTGCTCAGGAGCAATCTTTCTTTCAGAGATTGTGGATGTGTGCAGTTCTGCTGTGTTTACCACCAGTAGTGGTAAAATAATAATACTAGTGAGGAAATGAGGCCAGACATGAAGTTCAGTTTTTAATATGTTCTTTTTAAAGACATTCACCATTTTAGGTCAGCCTTTCCTCCTCTCTCACTTATGTTTTTGTTTAGAAACTGTGCTTTTGAGTGTACTAAGAGCCACTCAGGCAAGAGGTGTCAGGAACCTCAAGCTCACGTCGTTGGCCCGTCGTTTGGTGGGTCATCTGTGCAGATCTCAGGGACACTGAGAAATGTGTAAAACACAGTTGGTATCCCTGAATTTTTGCTTTGGCATGGGCCTTTTGGGTGAATCAAACCCAGACAAGGGTCTTGGTTTCCTTGCCTTCATTACAAGCCCCGGACTCGTGCTGCAATCCCTGTTGGTTTTGGTTGCAAACAAACCATGTTGAAGCAGGTGATGGAAGAGTCTGGAGAGGTGCTTGTTTTTGCAGGATTAGTGCTTGAATGTAGGGCTTATGCTACTTAATCCTTTTGCTTGCCATTCCTGTCTTTATTGGTCTGTGCGTGATATGTCTAATTAAAGTGAATCAAAAGCCTTTACCCGTTCTTTCCCAGCTTGGGTTTGTGGAGGCTGGCTGGCCTCATGTCAAGAGGTAGGAGGCTTAGTTAAGCAAGCAGAATAGATTTGATGCTGCCTTTAGGAAAGGTGTGAAAGAGATTATCTTGTAACCTTTGCAACTCCCTGCTGTGAGAGCAGACTGCTGAGACAGAATGTTCTTGGGTAAAGTTCCACCTCAACAGTCTGAAAAATTAGTCATGGTAGAGCATGCAAACTCTAGCAGTGTGTCTCTCTCTCTCAGGCTGAACAACTTCTCGCTCATGCGTTCGCTTGACATCCAGGAGGATCCCACGTTTATCCCCGAGGTTGCGGCGGAGGTTATGGAAGACAAGTCTGAGGCTAAAAACACTTCGGACGTTATCGAGCAGCTGATAGATGCAAGGTCAGCGTGTGACGTGCAAGAGGGGAGTGGAAGAACACGCGTGTTGGCTCTGTTACGTTCGTGGGAAGCTGTCGTGGTCGGTACTTTGGAGTAAAGTGTTTTTCCACGCCTGGCTACTTGACAAAACAAATTGTGCTGTCAGTCATCTTTCCTTTTGTAACTTCTAAGTCACCAGTGAAGTGATTCAGACAAGCAGTGTGAAATTTCTGCAGGCTTCAGAGAGCCTGCTTGCTGAGGAGAGACCAAATTCTGCCCGTGCCAGGGCTGCGGCTGCACCGTTAGAGCAGGTACGCTTAGTGGTTGGCCAAGTCAGCACATACGTCCCTTTGAGTGAGTTTGCAGGTGGGCTGTTTCTTGCCTGCAAGGAATCTCAAAGACAACACAAGGGGTGCTTGGAGGAGAGAAGGAACACAAGTTGTACATCCACAAGAATTTAGGCTTTGTTACTTAGATTGCTTGGTTGAAAGCCTGTTCAGCTTCTTGATTGCAGCCTGTAGGTCAGTAAATCCCACTAGATTCCAGGCAAAATGTTACTCAGGCTCACTGCAGCCTGATACTGAGGTGGGAGCAGCTGGACTGCTGTGAGTACTCTCCCCACCTGGTTTTGTCCTTCGCTGTGGGTCTACCCAGTATTTACTGAAGATGTCTGAGCTGCACTTCATCAGCATCTCAGAGTGGGTTCTCTGTATGTATCTCTGCTTTTAGCAGGACAAAGCTTGCTCCCAGCTTGAGTTCGTAAGCCAGAGCAAGAAGAAACTGTCAGCCCCTTCACTTTAGAGAAGGGATGCATTTCCTGCAGGCATTGGTCAGGGTGAGTGCAGCCTTCCAGTTCTTGTGTCCCTGGCTCTGCTGGTGATACACTCAGTATTTCAGGACACATTACTGGAGCCTTACCTCTTCCCTGGATATGCTGCCCTGCTCCAGGATACGGCTTCTGGTTTGGGCGATGATGTGGAGACATCGCAGGAGTAGCTAACTCTTCAGATGATCTTATGTTCATCCTGTTGTGATGAGAAATGGTCTGTTTCTTATGTGCTAGGGCCATCGTTTCGGTTTTTAAGCAGTTTGCTAATGTGAATCCTTGTGTGTGCTGCATAGTGTCTTTGCCCACCCGCACCGCACGCTGTATGTGCTGCTGGGTATCTGGGCTGAACCTGGGACAGAGAGCCTGAGGGTAGGTTTGCCAGTATAGTCTGGCTGTTCTGTAATACTCCACTGGTGAGTAGCAAATGGAAACCTGGAATAAATTTAGTTTATAATAAATACATAAATAAAAAATGGTTTAGTGACTGCTGTATTGCAGTAGAAATATGAAGCAACCGGAACACGTCAGCAAGGCCGACCCCTTATTTCTGTGGCACCCTTAGGGTACCTGGTGTCATGTGTGTCTGCGAGGAGTGTGACAGAGCATGAGCTGAAATGCGTAGGCCAGCGGTCCAAGTGGTGACCAGCGCATTTACTGGAAGCGAGCGATGTCCAGCCTGCCTTGGGCTGTGATACTGAAGTCCGCAGGTCTAAACAGAGGTGGCTTTGGCGGTTGACAGTTGCCTCTTCAATCTTTTCTTTGCAGGTCTGATTCTGCTAGCAAGGGGTTTAGCTTCAAAGGGATCAAGGACTACCTGGACTGCTACCGGTAGGTGAAAGTGTGGTCTGGGAACAAGTTGCCCTGCGTGTTGCCCTGCTCTGGGCTGCTGCTGTTCCACAAGCTCTCAGGCATCTCTCTGTTAGGATTGTCCTTGAGGTACCACTGTTCAGCATCTCACTTTTTGCAATCCTTTCCCTCTGATAGAATAACGAAGGAAGGCCAACTGGGGGAGCTGGCACAACTTTTCCAAGCCCTGCAAGGATATTTAAATGCTGTTTTCCTTGGCTTACAGTCAGTCTTCTCTGGGAGAGATTCCTGTGTAACTTGTTTGCCCAGACATGTGGTGAGATGGAGAGGAAGGTTTATCTGGATGATGCGAGTTGCACATACTGTGGGTTTCTGAGGTATCCCTTGGTTCCCCAGCTGCTTGTGCTCCTGTGAGCAGCTCGGCTGCTCTCACCAAGTAAACATGTCCTGCTCAGGAATAGCAGGAAGCACATCCCTGACTGAGGTCCTGTGAGCTGCTGACTGCTCAGGAGCTCCTGGTTGCCTCTGCTATGTGTGCTGGCGATGGATTGCTCGGATAAATCCCCTGGGAGTCCTGAGACATGTCCCTCGAGGGGCACCTCTGCCAGTAGGCTGTGGCCTGGGAGCAAAAGGCTGACACTGCCTTCTGGTGTTAAAGGTGCACCCTGGCTGTGAGGCTTTCGCGTCAGTCAGGGATAGGTGTGTTGTGCTGTAATGTATACAGCAGGGAGGAAAGGAGCCTCCTTTTGCCAGGAGGGAAGGGAGGCCCATTTGTTACAGGTGGGTTATCACCGTGCTGCTGGGAGCCCCTTCTCTGTAACAGGAGGCCTGTGTAAAGGGTGCTGGCCTCTTGTCTTAGTTCATGATACTGGAAGTTTCATAGCTTCAGGCTTTCAGGAACACGAGGACTCTCTGTAAAGCTGTCAACCATCCTTCCCTGTTTATCTGGTGCTTCAGGAATATTTGGGTAACTCTCCTAGCTCCTGCCCCTACTCTAAGGGTTGGGGGCCTGCTGTGTAGGCAGATTCTCCCCTTAAGGAAGGGAGTCTCCTGTCTTGATGGTGTCAAGTGTGTTGAAATCATCACCACACACAGAGATTCGTATCTAGTTCTTACTTAGAGCCTGTGACAGCTGGCACCGTGCTACGTGAGAGACAAACCCTGCGTGTGGGAGTCTTGTAACAAGGTCCCAACTTCTCCTGTCCTGTAGGAGTGGGAAGCTGACGCCGTCTCAGGTAGCAAAGAACATCATCGCCGTGCTGGAGGACTGCGACAAATCCATGCCCCCACTCAGAGCGATAGTGCAATGGGACCAGGAGCAAATCATGCAGGTAATGTCTGCCTCTGCTACCCCACGAGCAGTAGCATCCATTAGAAAGGGGCAGAGGCTCTTCTGCTTGTGTGTTCTACAGAAAAATATGTATGTTTTTCTTCTCCCTCCTTGTGTAGAGGACTACAACCAAGTTTGCTTTCCTTCCTGCAAAGAGAGGTAGCATTAAAGCAATCTGTTTCCTGCTGGGTGACTGTGTAAAATGGGACTTCTGTGCTTATGTAGCATCCATTAGCATAGATGCTTCCAAGTAGTAGTTTCCCATCAGCATATGGTGGAAGAAGAAAGAAACTTTGACAGTTTGGCTTAGTAGAGGCCTGAAATAGCCATTTTTGGTATCACTTCTGATACTGATAATGACCTTCAGCTCAACTAAATGTATATTAACGTGTACTTTTTTTTTCCCCCCCCTTCTGTGCAGATGGCTGAGGCCTCCACAGCTCGTTACAGGAATAAATGCACCCTGTCTTATCTGGATGGCATCCCAGTGTGTCTGAAAGAAGAGTTCAAAGTGGTGAGTTGCCTTGTCTAGCTCTAAGCTGTCCCTGCCCATGGCAGGGTGTTGGAACTAGATGATCTTCAAGGTCCTTCCCAACCCAAACTGTTCTGTGATTCTATCATAAGTTCATGCTGTAGGTGGTCAACTTGGTTTTATGGCCAACTCCTCGGCAGAGTATGTTTGTAATAAGGGGTTTGTATGTGGGTGTGTAATGTGCAGGATTAACAGGTTTTGCCAGGTGAAGTCAGATCTTGGATACAGCAGGTGTGTGCCATATCTTGTATCGATCTCTTTAATCCATGGGGAGTAGAGGGTGTGAGTGGGAAACAGTCCCTCTTAGGATGAAGTGAGAATGCATAAAAGCATCTGTAGCAGTGGGTGTAACTGGCTGTATTCCTCAGGCACTGACTGCTCCTCTGGCAAAGCATCCCTCTCACCTTACAGGACGTACCTGTGTCAGAAATATGCGAGTCACTTCGAAAATCGCCCCTCCGAAGGAGCTTTGCCTGTGGCCTGACAGCAGTTACCGTTAAACCCTCCTGGCAGTGCCATCAAGCTGTCCTTGGCTCTGCAGAGACCTGCCCTTAGGGTGGGAGTCCTGTGTATGTACAGATTCTTCCGTGGCTGCATCCAAGTGAAGAGTACTTAGCATACCTTGGAAATGAGTCCGTCTGGTATTGTGGCATTCGTCTGATCCTGGTGCCTTGCTTCAAAGCACCTGCAGATCTGAGAAGCCGCACCTCTGTCCGTAGGAAAAAATGGAAAACAGGGAGCTGCTGTGGGGCCAAGGGGACTGTTCTGCAGCCTCTGGGCACAGCAGTCACGTTGCCACAGAGAGGCAGGCTTCTTGGCCGCCTACATGTTTCTGCTTTTCTGTACCTGGTATTAAAACACCCCTCTGCGTGGGAGAAGGAGCAAATCCTGGAGGGTTAAGTGTCCCTCTTAACAGAAACCCAACACTGGACAAGCGGAAGACTGAAGCTTCCTAGCCCTTACCTTTGTGGGTCCTAATGTCTGGGATCTGTTGTGGAGCTGAAGCATGGATGTGAAGCACGTGCCTGCCTTGCCAGTGTTTTCAGCTTAACAATGAGGTGTCTTCTTGCTAAGGTGCCTTACCATCACCGAGTGGGAACAGTGTATCTTGGGACAGAGCCCGAAACAGAAGATGCTACTGTGGCCAGGAAGCTTCGAGAGGCTGGGGCTATCATTATTGGGGTCTCAAACATGCACGAACTAGGGACTGGAACAACTGGATGCAACCCTAATAGGTAAAAATCCCTTTTCCATCTCTTTTCCCCCATGTCCAGAACTTAACAGGAAAGGGTACAGAAGTGCGGCAGGCATATGAGAATAAAAGTGATGGAAGCAGCCTGTGCAGGGAGAACCCTGGGGGTATGAAAACCCGGCATTACAGATTTGAGGGTCAGAGTAGCTGTGGAAGCCTGGAGGCTCCTGAAACCAAAGGAAGGAGAGGATCCAAGTGGTGTCTGCTGAGTAAGGAACTTGGTTTGCCAGGCCTCACGGGCCTCGGAGGTGTGAGCGTTTACAGGATGAGCAGTCAACAAAAGCAGTGACAGGACACAAATCGTAATCGAGTGCTCAGTCACAGAAGTGGCTAAAGACCCACCGTTGTGAGAAAAGGTGCAGTTGTCTCAGGAGGACACAGTGGTTTTATTTCCCAGCTAAAAAAGGTTCACAGGGATTTGCTTTACCGTTGTGAGTTCCCAGCGGTAGCCAGGCTGAGAACTGCTATTCCGGAGCAGTGATCCTGGCAGCCTTGGTAAGCCATGTGCAGGGCCGCGCTTTGTGCACGTGTGGCTGGATGGAACAGGCGCTGCCCCTCAGCTGCGGCAACCTGCCGGGGCGTTTCCTCCCTGCAAGTTCAGCCAGATACCCTGCCTCCTGGTCAGTCTCTGGGGGCTATGGCCAGGCTGGGGATTCAGGGAGCCGCCGCTCTGGGATAAAGGGTAGAGTGAGGATGCCAACTGACTTGTCTGTGAGAACTGCTGGCCACCAACTGCTCCACCCCTTGGAATTGTGTAAGGCACTGTGGCATGCGGTGATGGCACAGTGCTGTTGCAGACAGAAGAGTTGGAGCGTCCTTTCTCTTGCTTTGAGCCTGTCTGTCTTGGATAGGCTGCTTATGGTAACAAGATCTTATTTTCTAGGGACATAGTTCTGTCTGTGATGAAATGGTATCTCTTTACTAAGAAATTGGAATCCCTGAGTTGTGTTTCTAGATCTCTTCCTACCATGTAGTGCACGTGGTCTTTCATAGGAAAGGATTCAACACTTTCTGTCTGCCTCAGGTACCACAAGATCCCTAGGAACCCCTACAAACCTAACCACTTCCCAGGTGGGAGCTCCAGCGGGTCAGCAGCAGCTGTAGCAGCAGGTGGGTGGTCCTAAACAGCATTTGGGGGTGATGGAAGGAAGGTCCTGAGCCAAAGTACTTCAGGCATTTAGTTTTTGTGAGGGGGTTTAGAAGCTGGAGGGACCTGAACAGAGCACTCTGTGTGCTCTCTTGGCTGAAGCCGCTGGTAGAATGGACGGGGCAACAGAGTGTCTGGTCACAGGCCAACGTGTGGGGTTTTTTTTTGTAGGTCTCTGCCCGGTGGCTCTTGGCACAGATGGAGGTGGCTCTGTGAGGATTCCTGCTTCGTTCTGTGGTGTGGTGGGGCTGAAAGGTAGAACCTTTAATCGTTGAGCGGGGTGTGTCTCATTGGCTCTGTCTGATAGGATGCCATAAATGAGTCGGGCACAGTCCATTAACTCCCGTCAAGCAAAACTCCAGAGAAACACTGGAGCGTAACACCCCGAGAGTCACACGGGTCTGACTGGCAGTGTGGAATTACTGCTCAGTACTGGCTGTTGAACAGATGTTAGAAAAACCTAACTTATTCGAGTCAGATACTAAACAAAACACGAGTGCTGCTTTTCTTTCTGCCCACTCGTCCCTCTTCAACCACCCTTCTGTGCTGGGAGGTGTTCCCAACGTGGTTGGGTATCTGTAGTGAGCTGGTGAACAGCATCTCCACCCACAATGGTTTCCCACCGCCCCGATTATGTGGAGAGGCTGGTGCTGCTCAGATTTGTATCTGGTACGTTAAGCCTGGTTATAGGCTTATATGAAACCAGGATGTAGTTGTTCCCTCTTATCTCAGTGTTCCAAGGAGTAGCAGTGCAGTTTTTTCCAGTAAGAATTTATGGAATCAAGGGGAATGTGCAGAGGACAAAAGAAATGCACAGGGCAGTGTCTGCAGCATGGAAGGTGGCGAGGCAGGATTGTCACTTGGAAGAAGTGCCGGCTTTTGGGAATGATTCATCATTCTGAAGGATCTCAGCTGCTTCATCTGAGATGAGATCCTCAGCCATTACTCCATTTTTCCATCCTTCACCTGTGACCAACTTGATTAATATCGATTCATCTGAGGAAGGTAACGATGATGACAAAACTGTAAGTGGTCAGAAAGGCGATACGAGTACTCACCAAAGACAACTGGTCCGGGGCAATGAATTCTCCCTGGTGAAGTGGGTGAGATCTCCTAGGGGGTGGCATATCCTGCTGTTGATAATCCTGCTCCTGCCTCTCCGCCCTCCATACCACAGATGCTGCTTCTGAATATTTAAATGCACATATTTCAAAATGCATCTGCACGTGTTTCCCCTCAGCTAAATAATTTCTTTTCGAGGAGAACAGCTTCACTGTTGAATGCATCTGCTTCATCGTGGTCAGCAGAGCAGGGTACTGAGGGATGAGTGTCGGGGCTCTGAAAGGGCAGACGTAAGGGTGACTGGCAGGGGTGTGTTGCTTACTGACTGGGTGCAGGGCTAACTAGGTCACATGTTGCCCGTGGCTGCTGATACCCAGCTGACTGCCCGTTTCTTCACCCCCAGGTACGTTTGGGCGCATCAGTTGTCACGGCAGCTTGCCGCTCTCCTACTCCACGGTCAGCGTAGGTAAGAGGGCCTGTGCTCCACTTTAGGGACCTTACTGTGTGGTGTGCTCACAGGGGCGGCAATCCATGCCTGTGAAACACCTTGGGAGGAAGGTGCTATTTATCCCTTGTCGTGGTTTTATAACTGATCTCTCGTTTACAGGCCCTATCTGTTCCTCAGTGGCGGATGCAGCCATTGTTTACAGTATCCTTGCTGAGCCGGATCCACTCTATCCATATGGTAGGTGAGCCTCTCCCTCCCTGAGCCCAGGTACTCTGCCTTCCTAGAGGCATCCTGGATACAAAGGATGGAACTCTTGTTTGTTCCCTGCAGGACTAAAACAGCCCAAAGCAACCCTGAGTGATATGTGTGCTCCTGACCTGAAAGGCTTAAAACTGGGAGTGGACTGGACGTTTTTTAAGGTGCCTGTTTTCTCTTTCTCTCTTTCTGCAGTTTTGCAGAATGAGATTTTGAAGGATTTCAATGCATTCCCTGTTCTTTTGCCTGTCGTCATTAGAGCTTCTCATATTTAGTCCTATAATTGGAAGATAATACAGCCTGGGTGAAAACATCGACAGGAGTAGACGTTTTCCTAAGGCAGCCTTTTGAGTAAGAGTCTGTTGGAGGCACGAGGAAGGGTAACAACCATACAGTTGATGGCAGTATGCTTCCTCACACTGCCATTTCTATTGGAAGCATGCTTCCGAACTGATTACAAAAGGCAGTTGGTTTAAAATCAAGTGAGGAAAATCAGCGTATCCATGTGGTGACAACGCTGTAGCTGCTGAGTGGCATTTCATCTTTCCAGTGTAGAAACTGGGCTTGCAAGCTAGTACTGCTTAGCAATTGTAATGCAACCCCACAGATGTGCTCAGGATTTCCTCCCTGGAGGAAAACAAGGACTCTCTCTGGCTCTGCCCCAGCACAGAGGAGGAATATACTCTCCTCTGGAAAGGATGACCTTTCCTTTTCTGTAGGGGTATGACCTGCAAGCTGGTCTCTCGGAGCAGGTGGCCTAAGGCGGTCCGGGAGGGCTGTTTCACGAACATTAGGGACAGGAACAAGGGAAGCTCTATGAGGACCCAAGGCCTGGTGAGAGCGCTCACCAGGGCGGGGAGGGCAGTTACTATAGTTCACATAGTTCTTTCCTCTTTTTCTCTAGGCATGTGATGCTGAAGTCCTGTCCATCTGTGAGAAAGGTAAGGAAGAAAACTCTCTAAGTCTCTTATTCTGCCTGATGTCATGGTGTGACTTGGTGCTGCTCTTACATAAGCATTAAAAGGATCGTGCCTGAAGTCCTCAAAGGCAGATGCTTGAAGAGGTCGGGCTAGACAAACAGCAGTAGCTTTGTATTAGGGAAGCCCTCCCGACTGCTGAGGGTTAAAGAGCTCGGCAGTTGTAGGCTTGTCAGGTTACAATGGAAGAATGCAGCCCAGTGTGCTAAGCCTCTGTCTCTGCATAAAGACAGCTCTGTGCTCAGGAATACTTACTCTGCAAGCTTTAAGGGTTAAGGGAGGCACTTGTTTCACAACATAATGTTCAAAAAAAAAAGACAGGGCTAGGTCTTTGTGATGTATCCAGTCCTCTGGTATTTCCCTGAAATCAGCCTTTAGGGTGGCTTTGTCCGATTGCAGACTAAGCAGAATTGACCCTAGTGAGTACCGGGTGTAGGGGAGAGAGGCTCTACAATGCCTGGTATAGTAGTTGGCCTCCTACGCGTTGGAGCGGCGGTAGTTCACAGCATTCCGGCTTTGTGCCTGGATTTTAATCAGCCTCTCTATTTCCATAGGCACTGACGCTCCCACACGTGTAAGAGATGAGCCATAAGGCAGTGACATAGGCAAGCTTGGGTATTTGTGAAGAAGTTGGGGTCAAAGAAAGGGGATATTTTTTTTAGACTGCCAAAGATTTCACTTTTCCTGACGCCTTAGTGTTCAGCCTCGCTGAAGTGCCTCAGGACTTGGTGAACCTGGACTGTTGACCCAGTCTCTTGAGCATATCCCGGGTTCCTCCACCGCTATGGTTCAGAAGAGGCTTCGAAGGGGAGTCCCATGATGCTGGACAGTCCCTTCATGCTGGTAGAATACCAGTTACGTCAAGCGCTCAGGGAAGCACTGTCAGTCCACCTCTGCTCTTCGGGTTAAGCGGGGGGCTAGAGAGAGATGCACTTGCCCTGTTGGCCTACTGAGATCTGGTTAGGCTGAAGGCTTTTACCTGTGAGAAGCAGCAGTCTGCATGGCACATGATACACTGAAGATGATGCTTGCCCGTGGGGTCTCTAACTTCTCAAGGGGGTGGAGATTTGCAGCCCTTCTGTGAAACCTGATGAACTCAAGGAACGCTGTCCCTGCTTTACCTGTTCTGTATCCAGCTGTGGAGCACCTGCAGAGTTTGGGAGCCAGCGTGGTTGAAGTGTCTCTTCCAGAGATGGAGGAAGTGCGAGTAGCGCATGTAATCTGCATTCTCAGCGAGATGAGGGATTTCTTGCAACCTGACTTCAACAAGCATTTCCAGGAAATGGTGAGTAGCAGCAGCTTGGATCCATGGCAGTAGTTGGAGCAAGTGTCATGTCCGTGGGAAACCGGAGGCTCTCCTGCTCTTTCGGTGACAAACCACCTGTGGGATGACTACTGACAGAGGAGAGCAGACCTGGCAGAGAACTCCTGGATGAAACCCGTTCAGTTTCTTGCAAGCAGAGCAGTGATCGATGTTTTCTCTTTCAGAACTTGGACACTCGAGCTAACCTGGCCTTGGCTTCCCAGTTCACAGCTCTGGATTACATTACGGTAAGGAACGTGCTGTGGTGAGGGCGTAAAGGAGGCACTAGTGAGATTGTAAAGGTGATTCTCTTAACCTCCCCACACTCGTGGAAAGGCATCACCCAGCCGGGCTTTCCTCTGCCGTGAAAGCACGCTGAGCGGTGGGGCACCACAGAGGACACGCCCCACGGATTGGTGTCCTGCGTGTTGATTCCAGACTGCAGGAACGGTCTCTTCCTTTGCAAAGGCACAGGCTCTGGTGGGCAGTCTGTCATCATCAAACACGAGCCAAGGGGGCCTGGTCAGACAGTAGTCTCTCTGCTTGCAGGCAAATCGACAGAGAACTCGGAGCATGAGATTCTTGCAAGAGATCTTCACCACGGTGAACTGTATCCTCACACCAGGTACTGGCAGCCTCGGCTGAAGGGCTGGTCCTCGACAGCTCTGTGGTGCTGTCACTCCGTTAACCATCCCTTCCCAATTCTAAGAGTGTGATTTTTGTGCAGAGACTTTGCTGAGCCTCGGGCCTTTAGAAGAAAATGCAGCCTGGTTAGAAAGCCTGCTCTGGCCTTCTAGATTTGCCCTGGATTTCTAGACTTACCACCTGTATCCATGGCAGCGAGAAACTCCACCTTGGTACTTGAAAGAGGAGCTGCAGAGCCAGCCCACTTACGCAGCAGGGGCTGGACAGCTGCTCATCTACAAAGGTGTTCTTGCTCTAGATAGAAGCGAAACGCTTCACTCATAAATCCCAGAGACTTGATTGCGATCCAGGGGCGTGAGGTTGCATCACCCACATATATCAGACATGGCTTTAACGAACCAAGGTGTCCCTTGGAGCCTGCCCGCTGCCTGACTCTTCCTTTGCTCTTTAAGCACTGGATTAGATTGCTCAGAGAGGCTGTGGAATCTCCATCCCTGGAGATATTCCAAAAACTATTCAGACATGGTCCTGGGCAACCCTGCTCTAGCTGACCATCCTTGAGACAGAGGGTTGGGCAATGTGGCCTCCCGAGGTCCCTTCCAAGCTCAGTCGTTCTGTGATTCCTCCACAGCTGTTCCTTCCACCGCCCCAAGGATCTACGAATCTGACCTCCTGACTGGGAGCAGCAATTTCTCCCTCACGGCCCGGTCCATGAGGTAAGAAAGAGAGTTGCTTGCGCTGTGGAAGCAAAAGTTTGGGAACAGCTGGAGACTAGCTGCACCAACTGAAGGAGTGCAAGCTGTAGAGCGGGAGAGATGGATCCTGGCTGCCTTTCCCAAGAAGGGATGGCCTCGCTGCCGTCCCAGGGCAGTGCTGACGACAGCTTTTCCTCCAGGTTCATGCAGCTTGGTAACTTCACTGGGATTCCAGGCCTTGTGGTCCCCGTTGGATATTCTACTGCTGGGCTTCCTATCAGCTTCCAGGTGAGTATTGGCTCTGGATGAATGCTGGGTCACAAAATCCCCAGCAGCCCTTGTCCTGTGCCACCAGAGCCAGGTTCCCGCTGTTCCACATGGCACACTTGAGGAGTTGGCACTTTAATTTGCTGGGTGAAGAGACTTGCCTCGGAGTAGCTTGCTCCGGAATGGCAGAGGGACTTTTCAGGTACCTGGGAGATAGGTTTCTCTGCCTTCCTCTCTACATGTGTCAGTACCCACTATTTGTCACTACTCTCTCTTTTCCTTATTTCTCAGTTCTGTAACTTGGGAGTCCTTCCTTGCTCTTCTCCCTCTTTAAATGGGTCTCGTGTAATTGAAAGGCCCGTGACCTGTAATTACCAGTCACACATCTGCCTTTATCCCAAACGCAGCCATGCTGTACTTGACGGGGTGAAAGGGGAAAAACGTGTCCTGGTGCTGTTGAGGGGGAAAAAAGTCAGTTCAGTTTTGCAGGGATTTCAAGAGCATCTGTATGTGCTGATGTTATTTTGGTTTTTCCCCTCCTTTCTCTCTCTGCCTCTCTCATCTTCTCCCAGGTGATGGCGAAGTGGTGGGATGAAGCCATTCTTCTGAGGATTGGCCTGAAGCTAGAACAGTTTCGTTACCAGACCAAAAAACCATCCATTTATTACGACATCCTCGCATGATGGAGCGACCAGGACGGGGAATATGTCTGTCTGTCTGTTTTTTTTTTTTCCCTGGCCGAGGATCAGAGTGGACTTGTTGTCAGTGTTCCCCTGCACACGGATCAGTGGCAGGCCCACCAGGGGAACGGGGAGGAGCACTCACCTAAGCAGGCACTGACGTGGAGCAGGCATCCCTGTTGTTACTGGATGGCCCCGTTTGTACTGGGGAGACCGACTGTGCTAGCTAGTTCCTCACTGCAGCTGTCTTCTGCAACTCCTTTCCATACCGGGGTCCTGTGGAAAGACGGAAGACAGTTGCATCTGCAGGACTGCGTGCGGGCAGCTCATACTGCCGGGTGGAGAAAGGTAAATCCCTAGACCTTACACCTCCTCCTGCTCCAGGATCTAACAAAGGTACTGGTTTTAGGTGGTGTGTGCTGCGGCCCCTCAGCGAAACAAAGCCTGTAGCTATGGAAGTGTCGCTGTGCTTGTCCCTTGTGCTGCCAGCGGTGTAAGATCAGTCTGACTGTGGCCTGAGCCTCTGGTCTTCTAGGTGCCCAAAGGGAAGAGCTGCCTGCTAACGCTGTGAAACACCACCTAAGGAAAGGGAGGGCTGATCCAGCTGTTGCAAACCTGTGACATCTGCATGGTACTCCAAGTGGGAAATGCTGCTGAGCTACTGCGGGAGGTGAAGCTGGGTGCAGGAAGGGTGATGCACAGAGCCCTGTGCAGCAAGGAGCCTGCTCTAGATAAGAAGCCAACCCCCTCTTATCCCAAATGCTTCCTGAAGTAATCAAGGTAGAATTAGGACATGGATTAAAGATGACGGTGTGCTACGTAAAGCGTGACACTGCAGGAGGAAAAGCTATACTCGTGCTAGAGCAAGAGTAGTGTTTCACTGCACCTACCTGTGTCCTGCTGGGGCCACCTGAGGGCTGAGAAGACCTAGAAGTAACCACAGCACAGCTTTTGGGTGGGTTTGGAGCTTGGGGTTAACAATCAGCAGCATCTCCTGCTGCCCCCTTCGCCAGGGATCCTGGGCTTGTG